ATATATATATTATATAATATATATATATATTATATATATATATATCTACTATATACTATATATATATATATATATATATATATATATAACATATATGTATATATATGTGTGTGTGTGTGTGTGTTTGTGTGTATGTATATGTAGGTATGTTTGTACGTTTTATGTGCATGTGTTTGTCTGTGTGTGTTTGTTTGGTTTGTGTGCATGTATTTGTGTATATGGATTGCATGTATACATGAATGTATATATGTATATGTATTGTATGTATACATAATTGTATATATATATATATATGTATATGTATGTATGTATGTATGTATGTATATGTGTGTGTGTGTGTGTGTGTGTGTAAATTTGTATTTCCATATTTTCGTACTCATCCGTGCATTGTGTATATAGTATATATTAGGGGTTTCTCAGATGTCTCATTGGTAATGAAGCTGCTCACCAGTCCTTTTTGAGCTCTGTACATTAATATACCATTTCAAATTGAACCTATATCGCTTTGATTTATAATGCGTACGCACAGCAAGACTTAATTCTAGCTTAGTGTAAAGACAGTGTATATCTCATGTCTCGTCTGTATTTCTCGTCTGTATTGTCGCGAGTTTTAGGTGCGGTCCATCACTTTGGACAGCTGGACAGAGGATAATCTGGTCAGAGTTCAACGAATCGGGAATGAACACTCCAATGCGCAATACGAAGCCAAACTGGATTATATGGAAAAGATATCGATGACAAAATCTTTTTTGAAAGATTCGTAAGTAACGACGACTGTTCTTTGCTTTTCATATGCCTACCAGTATGTGTCAGTGGATTCTGAGCACAAGTGTGTGTGGGCTATATAGATATCAGTGAATTATCTTACTATACACAGATCATTGTGGCGTGTTTACGATATAAAACACGTGGGCGCAGTCTTTATGAATTTCTCGTTTTTTTTTTTTAGGAATGCGTTAAAAAACACCTAGTAGAGTACCTTGTGGACACAAAGCCACCACCGCAACTTGTATATAGTGCCTGCTTGAATATTTTACCGTTCATGCTTGATGATTGCTGTGATATTTCATTTTCATATTTGGCTCTTCGGCTCTCCTGCTGATTCGAAATTCGTACTTTGGTTGAACAGGAATGACAGGTTTGCCTTTATTCGGAATAAATACGTTAATAAACTGTGGTTCGATAACGTCGATCATGATTCGGATGCGAATTTGGACCACTACTCGCCAGGTGAGCCCATAATTATATTTTCGAAGGAGTGCACATATTTAGGGCCCTGATCTGCCTAGGAAGTGTTTCGTTCTGCAAACACATTATGAATGATTTGCTTTTGCTGTAGACCATAAAACCTAATTTTGCATACATCCGCTAACTTGATAAATTTACTAAATAAATTATCTGGGGATAGGGTATAGCGGATTAGAAAATTGTAAAACACACAATCCGGTTCCATAACATCAATAGTTTCCAAATCATCAATTACGAACCGCTTTATTCTTGAACTGTCTCGGGCACTTTTGGATGGATTTTTTTCTCGATGTGGAAAGGTGAACTAGACACTAAAAGAATCATAGCACACCGGGTCACTTTCTGCATCTTTATTTCAATCAGTACATTGCCGTGGCTTGAGTGAAACAGTATAAGCTTACTTTAGATACACTCTGGTATTCATCAACATATCATTTGCCATATTAACCACTGCAGGCGATCTGAATTCGGAGGAGCTGTCTCACGCGATCTCAGCATGTCCAAGTGATGACGTCAGGTTATACACAGGACATGACGACATCACTCCCTTACCCTCCACCGTCTGTCTGATAAGGTAAGCAATTGCAGCATACAATATGAAGTGAATTGTATAACTTTCCTTGAATATGTTTGTGGAGAACAGGAGAATTCACAATTTTCAATACTTTCCCCATAATTCACCCTAAAACTTTGAATACTCGGATGAACACCTTTCTGTAGTGAGCCGGGGTCATTGACAACATCGAATGCTGCGTTGTACGCATCGACTACCATCGACCATGACGACATCCCAATAGATTCCTATGCTAAATCGCCACCTTCGAGTGGATCACCCGATCCATTGGCAACATTACACAGCACGCCATCATTGGAGGGTTCTTCAATCATGTTAACGGACGATAGTGATGCAGATTTCTCACCTAGTGAATTCGTTGGTAACGATGACTGATGTACAACCCTTGAAACACAGCCTGAGTTTTCGACTTTGGTTTGGGAGGCATGAAATAAATTGACTCCAGTGGTAATTCATCATCCATCAAATGGTGTGGTCTATCTGAGCCCCATCCCTTTTGGTATCTTGTGCAGTTTCCAGAACTATGAGGGACATATGAGGGCGTACGTAAACATTCTACATCAATAATCAAATTATCACAAACTAGTGCACTAGCTATCTTTAATAATCATAGTTCCACGTATATACCTAACGCTATCTCCGGATAATCATCTTACCCTCACACACTTGTCAAGCACTATCTCAAAGGTGATGCCAAACCATGAAGATAACTGGGTTTTAAAGCTTTCGCACTCTTTGCCCACTGGACGTACTTAAAGTACTGTCTCTGTCCTTGTATAATCGTTGTGTATTGGAGTGCACGATACAATCCTTTTCGTATTGCCCAGATTCCGGTATAGGCAAGAAAATGCATCTTCCCTTAAACTCTAATGAAGGATACCGAATATACAGCAACCGTGACATGACGTAATGTATGCCATGGCAGATGCACACTACACGTGATATACTTCCGCCGCTGTCAATATATACCATCCGCCTCATACTCAAGAAGCGAATGCTTCTCGCTTGAAATTTTGAAATGGTATGGCCGGATCGTGGTACGCGAAGACTTCGATAAACTAACTATACTGCTATGGGTTAATGCAATTCATCATGCTTTCGCTTCATCATCAGTAGGCACGAAGGTGACACGGGCTGCTTTCTCTCTATTCCACTCCCTCTGTCTGACAAAGTGCTTGACCCATGATGGCATACAAGTGGCCTCGAATTTCTCAAACAGTTCGGCGCATGCTGCTCTGTCTTCGTTCTTGTTGGTAAGACACTCGAAGTATGCGTCCCTGCGAAGTGGACATATCGAATTAAAAAGTATA